TAATATTGCTCGGGGTAAGTGTTTTTCTTTTTGAGGAGTATTCAATGTGAACAACAAATGTTCCAGCCCCCCATTAATGAGGGTCCTTCCACTATTTATAGTGGGGAAGGGATGGTTTCCCTTTTAGGGTTTAGAGGACACGTGTCAGCAGAGGATTGGAGCACTGCTGACCAACGGCTGGATGCCACGTGTCACTAGGCCATTGGGCCACGTGTTTAGGGTATTTTTACCCCAAACAAGTACTATCAAATTTCAAACCAAAACCATTTAACTGCCCGAATCCAAACGACTCGATAACTAATCGATTTTTTGAAACTGGAAACCGACTCAAACCGTAATTTAGTAAACGCGAATGGAACTGATCCGAATAACGTTAAACTGAACAAGAACCAAACCAATTGTAAACTGAACCGAAAAAGCACAGATCTAGTTATAAACTGAACTGAAAAAGAACCGAACTAGTTATAAATTGAACTGAAAAAGAACCGAACAATTTTTAACCCGAAACCGTTTCCAACCCGAAACTGTTTGAACCGGGATTAAAAACCGTTAACAACGAACCGTTAACAAACCGCGACTCGTCTGCACCGAATCGTTTACTACCCGGATTGTTTACAACCCGAACCGAATTAATAAAACCGCTCAAGAATAAACCGAATCGAACTGATAACTATTTATACCGAACTGAAACCGATCTGCGAGACACTTAAACCGATTTCAAACCGACCCGATTAAATACTAAACCGATTTCAAACCGAATTGAACCCGAACTGTCAAACCGTTTTGACAGTGCTACTAAAGGGTCATTTGTTAACCCAAGAGGTTAATTATTTGGAGCTGAATTTTAACCGGAAATTTGTAGGTAATCCATCAAATGCTTTAAAAAAAATGAGGTCCCAAGTGGTGAAGAAAAAGGCAAATGTAAGTTCCCAAACATATGCTTAACTCTCATTTTCATTAACTACATTTTAAGCACTAAATTTTTAGAAATAACTTACCAATTTAATTTCTAATCTCACTTTCATTGATTATTGCCAAATATAGCCTTATTCCAAGCTAAAACCGATAAGGTAAATTAAAAAATAGCCAATTCAATCCTATTATTTGGATAATTCAAGTGACTATATTATTAGCTACAAAATTAGGAAAATTAGTGTTAATTAAGAGGGAGGTATAATGAGGGGAAGTAATAAGAGTATCATACTATAATGAAAATAATTAACAATCCTGGTATAGAATTTAAAACCTACATACGTGTATAGAATTAAGCCAATCAAAAACAAATAAAAAATTAATTAAGTTAATGAAGGAGGCTTAGTGGTTTAATTAATTGATGAGTCAAACAAATAATTAGTTATTATCTGATCTAAATAATTCCCATATTGCATTAGATTAAGATAATTGTACTGAATATTAGAGTATAATCTTAGCATATCCTTAATTGAAAACATTTTAGTTGAATGATGCTAACATGGAGACATAGCTCCTCGTGTGAGTGTAATTCAATTACTTTAGTTAATCAACGCCGGCCTTCCAAATCTCCATTTTGGACCGTATGATTAAACTCTAATTAATTAAAATTAGCTATTGATTTTGTAGGACCGAGTGTCCTACATCAACTGACAATTGACATAATTATTAGAGTTGATAAATAATAATATTTTTTTATAAATAAAATAAATAAATAATAATAATAATTATTATTATTATAATTAATATTTCGTAAATAATTAATAATAATAATAATAATCTTTTCCAATCTATAAGAAGAAATATGGTGAAGTGCGTAGGATCTTGTTTGGTTCGTTAAGATAAGTATATTTAGAATATCAATTTATATTGAATTTGATTATCATATCGGCATTCGGCACACATGCATGTAAAAGGAAAATGGGAAGAATTTTAAGGATTCCAGGAAAAAAAAAAAAAAACTTTGATGTGAGACAAAGAATGTAGAGGATTAGTAAGGTAGGTTTAGGCAATAGTGGATACCCAGGTGGGGCAAAGATAGATTTAGTTTAGATATAGGGATATTAATGAGCCGATACGAATCTCGAACAAACTCGGTTAAAACTGCACAAGAATTTCAAGCTCATTTAATATACTAGTCCTACTCAAACAAAGTATCAAGTACTTGGCTCATTTAGGTTCACGAACAATTCGTTCATGGTTTAGGTGTTTGTTTGTATTCATTTATACATTTATAAAAGGTTTATTTGTAACTTGGTTAAAGCTTAAGTTGAATTTAAATGATATACTTGCAAGGTAATTTCGAATATCAAAAAAACTTATATACATAAGGCAAGCTCAAACAAGCAAAATAAAGCTCGGTCGAGCTTGACTCAAGTTCAAGCTTGCATATTACTTATCAAGCCTAGGCTGAACAAGCTTATCTCGGCACGACTCATTGACATCTAGAAACTGATTGACGCACTTTGAACTTTATCATAACTTTTGACCATCTTTGTTTTTCTTACTACTCGTATCATATAAAACGTGGTATTAATGAGTTCGACAATTATTGAATTTATCCCAATATATATCATTGAAATAAACATTTTACAGTTTACAAATACATAATAAAATAAAAATGATAGTCATGATAAAAATCAATGCTTATTGTGCTAATTATTATGGAACGGGTATAGTATTATTTTTAATTAACTCCCATCATTTTCAGTTTATATAGACAAACGGGTAAAAAGGGGAGAAAACATAGGTATTATACATTGACTCCTCTTACGCAAAAGAAACGGATAATAGTCTTTGTTTTGCACAAAAGAAACTGATGGCAGTATTTTATTTTTAGTGAAAATGTCAAAGAAAATTATCAAATGGTTATAAATTTATTATCAAAAATATCTAAACTTCTAGATAAAATTAGCTAGTCACATTTGTAGTTACATTAGCACTTCCTATTTTTTCACCAATAGAAAAACACAAGTTTGAACGCTTGCACATTGCACCCTTGTAGCTACAGTCCCTCCGGCGAGACGTACAAAATCATTAAATTATACTGCATCTGGATGAACTAAAAAATTTGACAAATCTAATACAGGTTGCAAATAAGCAAAAAATAACTTCAAATAAGTTCGGATAATCTCAGGACTCTTAGCTCAATCAGATCGGTTGCACAAGAGATTCCTTGGTGTTACAAGGTACAAGTCAATTGGTGTACGTGTTAACATTAAAAATGAAAAGGTAAAAAAAAATTTAAAAATTAACTAAGCATAGCAAGCTCATGTAATAATTTGTTTATTGAGGAAGAAAAGCCACATGTTCCACATGATATTAACCATTATAAATTGTGCAAGAGTTTTAGTAAACATTCTGCTGAAGAACTTTTGCCAGAAGATATTTTGTCTTGTAAGATATATATAGACTTGTAGAGTTCCTAACTTGTTGATACATAACAATACTCCGTATTATGCAACGGGTTAGTTGAAATTTCAAAGGTAACACTGCATCAACCATGTTAGAAATCGTATGATGATCGGAAATAAAATAATTATTCTGTCACGGTGTAGTTGATAGAGTATAAAACATATTCCTGGGCCTCAGCTGATGGTTGATGTTTTATGCTCTATCAGTAGTAGTCAATAAATTAAGGAATTATTGATAGCTAATCAGATCTTAAGTTCAATATTACTCGTGTTCAAATTGCTGTTCTAAGGAATAAGGATGAGGTTTTTTTTTTTTTGGAAAAAGGATGAGGTTTCTTTAGTTCATTTCTATTTAATTGTTGAAACTTTGTTCCACATAAAATAGTACAAGTCAATAATAATAATACGAGTAACATTTTATGACATTACTGCAAAAACAATTAAATTAGTTTGACAATTTTTTTTTTTTTTTTTTTTTTTTTTTTTTTTTAAAACTCGTGTGCAGTAATCAGTGTCAGTTAACCATCATTGGCTTCTCTTGTCTTATTATAAAATCTGAATGATTATTATACTAATCATTTCTACCATCTTTAACAATCATTACTGATATTATTAGTCAGCTTTTTAAATTTTTATATCCAATCAGAAAAAGCAAACTGGCCCAATCATAGTTTAGTTTTTAGATTATCTGAACATTGTCTTATATGCCACCAATACTGCATCTTTCATTCTGTCAAAATGATATAATGTGCATTATATTAATGCATTACTAAACATTACATTCAATAATATCTCTATTAATATTTTGATAATATCATCGGTTGCATGGAACCGGATACAGATTTAAAGTACTCGCACATTACATAAGAAATGGACATCCGAAAATGGACATGGGGTTATTAGAGTTAAAGTAAAAAAAAGTCTATAAAATCAACAAAATGGTAGTTAATAATTAATTACCTATCTTAATTCATCCAGCTAATAGATTTTGACAGTTAGAAGTTTCTAAGTATTATGGATTACTGGTAGAATAATGGACTTTCCTCTTATTTAAAGTAGTGATTTTATTTACTCTAAGAATATTTTGGCTTGTTCAATGTGTTTTATGAAGGTTCCTCTGATGTCCTGGTCCTTAGCTGAATTTATCATCATTAACAACTAAAAAGCTTGTCAATTGTCAAAATGTACTTCTATAATGAAAAAATTTATGGAGTTCATTCGTTTGCAATAAAATATAATTCCACGTCGTTGCAATTCGTAGGATAACATTCTACATTCCCATTTCGCCTCACACCAAATCATACTTGCATTATGAAATAAAGGTCCCTTTTCGTTGATTGCAATCGTTTAGACTTCGTAATCATACGTGTTTCATTTTTATTTATATTTTATAATATATGCTTAAGTCCTCTAAGCCATCAAAAGGGTTTCTTTACTTCTATCAATCCTTAATTTAATCTACATTAGCCTGCAATGGCCCCATCAATCATTTTGAGCTTAACTACACAACAAAAGTGTCGTTTTAGTATTAACGAAGTCAATCTGCAAGTTGCTGCATTGGCTTTGGAGTATAAATATGTCCATTGATATCTTTGTTTCATTCAAGCTCGAACAAAATCTAGCTTCTCTAACACACTTCTAACACACTTGAGATCAATTAAGTATTAAAAAAAAATTAAAACAATGATGATGGAGGCAGAATGGGGATCCTTTAACGGAATTTCTGTCAATGATGAGGCCGATTTTATGGCTCAGTTGTTTCCTAATTGTTCGCTTGAGCAAGAACTAGAATCGTGTAGCTTGGCACTGTCATCCTCTTGCTACTCCGGTATGACAGAGGATGACAGGCTTGACAGCAGTTCATTTTTTAGTACCGATGATAAGAATTTTAATTCGTATTGTTTGTCCCAAGGGAGTAACTATAGTGGTGGCAGCAGCAGTATTACTGTTGTCTACCCTTATCATGAAAACTTTTGTTTGAGCGAAACTCATCAGATTTTTGCAGCTAATGATAATAGCTGCCACTTTCCTGTTGATTTATGTCCATCTGCTGCGAAAAACTTTATCCAGCGCTTTCCAGGTAACTCGATGGAAAGAAGTGACAGCTTGAATTTGGAAATCAGCTGTGGTGGCAGCTTTGAAGATCAGCCAGAGTTATCGGAAAATAAGCATTTACAGCTGAAACAAGAATATGAGATGTCAGAAGTCGAGCCTGCTTCTGAGGACAGAAGCAGTGGCCTATTTGAGAGTGGAAAGAAAAGATCTCGAATTTCTGAGGTAAGATTGTTAAACTTTCATTCTGAGCCTTTACAAAAAATTTATTATATTACATTACAATGTCTGATCATGGTATTGCAATGTATGTTCAGAAAGGAAAGAGGAGTGTCAGGACAAAGAGGAATCAGAAAAGTGGTTCTGATGACGAAGATAATGCTCCTGACTTTACTAAGCAGAACTCGAGTACTAGTTCAGAAGAGCTCGAGGAATGCAACGGGTCTCAGGAGTTGGGTTCAAAAGAGACTGCAGCAGCTGTCAAAATGAATGGTAAAACAAGAGCCAGCAGGGGAGCTGCAACTGATCCTCAAAGTCTCTACGCAAGGGTAAGTGTTAACATTTTACACATTAGTAACAATGCATCGCCTTATTGGTTAATTATTGATTTAACTTATTTTCGTTATATTGCAGAAAAGAAGAGAGAGGATTAATGAACGATTAAGAATCTTGCAGAGCCTTGTTCCTAATGGAACGAAGGTGAGAACACTTCGGTTTTAGCATATCTTATTTTTACTATATTCTAAGTCTATCAAGAAGTGAAAATCTTAAGGATCTGATTTTGGTTGACAGGTTGACATAAGCACAATGCTTGAAGAAGCTGTCCATTATGTCAAATTTTTGCAGCTTCAAATCAAGGTAAAAGGGATATGATGACATCCTTACTGTTTGAATTTTAAGACCAGAAAAAAGCGTCATGGTTCATTTCAAAAAATGACTTCATCCAAGACAATAATATTCTACATATCATTTAAAAATATATAATGAAGTCAAATAAATGGCAAACCTTATTTTGAATGTTTATGCAAAGATACGCCAGTCACAAATATTTGAAAGAGTAGTTTATAAATGAGTCCCTTACAATATTGAAAAACATACAATGACCATAATGCAATAATGTAATATTATATTAATAGGTACTAATTTCTTTCTCTCTTTGATTTCTTGCAGCTATTGAGTTCTGACGAGATGTGGATGTATGCCCCTCTTGCATACAACGGAGTGGACTTTGGTCTTGATTCAAAGATCAGCGCGCTGCTATGATGTATCTAAAAATATACGGCTCTTGTAACTTCATAACTCATGATACCAACACTAATAATAACTAAGCCCTTGTTATCTTATCAGTAAACTAAGTTACAAAGGCAAACATTTTTTGCTGAAACCTGTAAGAAAGTTCAGGTGACAGTTTACATTTGATCTGGACTGACATGGATTACCAATTTGTGTCCGTTGATTTTTTCATAATGGACCTTGTTCGAAATACATTGTTTCTTATTGACTTGTTTTGATCACATTGGTTTTATTCTTGTTCTACTAATGGACTCTTCGTTGCTTGGTGTGGGTGATCATGTAATGTGTATATAAATATGAATGGACAATTAAAACTTTGCTCTCAAAGACAATGACTATAAGGGTTACTTTGGGGTGATATATAGAATATTGACAATGTTTCTAAAACTATAGAGTAGCAAAGCCTGTTTATATAGCTTGGAATCTGTAGCAAAGTTTTACTAATTGAGAAATATGACAATGGACTAAATTTCTGGTTCAAATGTCAATTCCAAGCTGTTTCGGTTTAGATTAAACAAGCTCGATTTTATGGTATCTATAGGTGCACTTTTCATCCTATGTATAGCTCATTGCATAAACAGAGAAGCTACTTCCAAAAGAAAAATAAATTCAGTAAAAAAAAAAAACTCTTTTAAGTTCCTAAAATCGATGCTCAGTAGTTCTATAGCTGTCATTGAAATGGTAGCTGTAAAGTACTTTTCGAAAAGAATTAATAGCAAAAATCAGCATATTGGAGCTAACACAGCCTGCTGCCTAGTTGAGCCGTTAGGAAAGGAACTCATTTCACCCCAACTTTGATGGCTGACACAGGTGGTCGTGTAAGTGCAATAATTGTCTTGTCAACTTGCAAACTCCACCCAACATGACTGTGTCAACGGACACTAGTGTCCGCGATGGGTAGGTATACCATTGTCTTTGCCTCAATTGCACCACACCTGTGTCAGATAACATATACTAGAGGTGTGGAACCTTCATTATTATTGGTTTCTTAGATCAATTCCAACCTAAAATTCCGTTGCAGTTGACATGGATGCCTGCCAGTGGTGAAGATCTCTGCCTTCTGCCCTGCAGCCCTGCTCTCGACAGGACTGCTGCCCATGGCTGTGTTTGTAAAATAATAAGCACAAGTGTACAGCAGCACATGCATCCCTATTTGCTCCTAACACAATCCTTAATATATAGCGCTAGCTGTACAACTTTCTTTCTCGTGTTGGTCTATAACCATTCAGAAATTTCTATTTTGACAGTCATAAGTACATTATGAAAAAGATCTCTTCTTGCTGGTCTTGGTCAGGTTATCAGATGTTCAATCAAACTACTTCGTGAGTCGTGACAGTGTTTATCCTACCTATCGTATTGTTAATCATGTTCAACATGTACAATAGAAGCAGGTACATCAAGATTGAATATCAGTTTTTCAATAAGCATGTTGATCATAAGTATGTATCGATTCACATTATTCAACTAGCTGATGCTTATACAAAATGTCTTTCAAGCAATTAATACAATCTATTTAAAGTCACCAGAGGATCAAGTATAATAAACTTAATTGGTAATTATGTAATAATGCAAACAGTTTTACTAAACTACATTGTCTACATACATGTGTATTACTCGGTATATAAAGAAGGTTAGAGCCTTCATTATGGTTGGTCTGTTAAAACAAAAAAACACCTTTCGCGACTAGTCTTGCCTAAATAAGTAATGTAACAGATCATCTTGAACAATGTAGCAAGTTTTTTTTTTTTTTTTTTTTTTTTTTTTTTTTTTTTTTTTTTTTTTTTTTTTTTAATTCCAAGACAAACTGATCACCTTCATCAAATTAAATCACAAATTATTCCAAGACAAACGGATCACAAAGAAAAATAATAGATCGAGCAGACAAAAGTTCTTTGGTGAATTTTTAATACGGTGCATGAACTAGTACAAGTACATAATCTGGTTGCCAAGTCACATACGATCTTGTTCCTCTCTAAAAATCCCTTAACTGTCTAGGGAGATAGTATACGAAATACGATCATTAGCTAACAGATGCAGTTGTTGATCAGGGGATATTGTGTAAACAAGTCATCAATCAACAAGCACTAATCCACAATAATATAATTATTAACAAAATTACAGAACATTGAAGAAGACATTACTAATCAAAAAATGGCGTAAGCAGATATTTGTCTGTATCAAAGTATATTCTCTAACTTATATTATATATATTTAATTTTTATAATAAGGTCTCATTTGTAGCTTGAAAGATCTTAATCTTAGTCTATTTTATTTTTGCATAAAAACATAGAGAACTCGTTGCACGTCCTTGCAAGTTGCTAAGAGGTGGGATTCTTTCTCTAACCCTCCATCCAAAAATTTATTCCTTTTCTTTTTATTATTCTAAAAAAGCAATTAATTGTCTGGTACTACCAATTATATAACTCGTACTACATTCTCTATTCAATCATTGGATTGTATTTGTAACCATTTCTCCATCCTTGTTCATTCTAATGTTTTTCTAGCCCCGATACATTATCTGACCTGTCTGAAACTAATAGTCACATATACTAACTCATTTTACATTTTACGCCCACATTGTCACCTTTTAGGATGGGGGATAGGCCGATAGGTTGGGTTTGGGTTAGATTTTGGGTCGTGCTAAAAAAAGCTATCGCAAATGTGGTAATAATCAATATCATGATAAAATATGAGAAATGCAATGGCTCAAACTGAGGTAATTTCGTTCTACCTAGGCTTGGTTCAGATCAAGTTTAGTTTCTCTCATTAACTTCAGGCCGATCCATGTCAGGGATTGACATCCCTTCGAGGGAAAAAATAGAAATAACACGACTATTATAAAGGACTTTTATGATAAAAGTAATGTTGTCTGTGATTACAAAAGGTTGAGACAATGTGACAACTAATTGTGAACAAACGTGTTTATTATTATTTTATGACCACCAACCGGAATACTTAAGTTCCTGCTATTAGCTGTCATGGGTCCCATCGTAGTAGACTCGTGTTGCTGATGTACTTGGATAATGACATTAATATTTGTTAATCTTCTCAACAGCTAATCATTTAGTTAAACAGAAAACAGTTTATGGCAAGGTCAATTTTATTCTCTACTCCTTTGGTTCTGTTATATTATTGACATAATATATAAACTAAAACATGATCATCTCATCCATCCTCATCCAAATTATTAACTAGCTTGTAAGTTTCGAAAAAACTAATACTTGAAACTTAAATAAACTTTACAAAATTCTAACTATATAATAACAAACACAGCAGCATTCTCCTTCTCCTCCTGCAATACTTCAATCCTACTAATAACTCGAGACAGTATGGAAGGAGGAGAATGGAGCAACTTCAATGCTGCTGTGTGTGTCAACGAAGAGGCCGATTTTATGGCTCAATTGTTTCCTAATCCTAACGACGTAAATCTCAATTACAGCCATCATCATCATTACCACATTATTGCTAATAATACTAACAATAACAATAATAATAATAACAATGCAGAAGGTGGTTCATCTTATTATTCTTCTGATTCCACCTCTAACTCTCAAAATTTGTACCGTTATTCACAAGAGAGTAGTTATAATAGGAGCAGTCATGATCATGAGGTTCATTATCACAATTATTTTGGTGATAATAATAATAATAATCATCATCATCAACAATTAGCAGCCGCGGCTAGTAATGCATCATCCCTGCCTATTGATTTCCTCCAGTGTCATATGGATGATCAGGACAATGGCGCGATCAATAATGCAGACGTCGATGAAGATCAGTCTCAGTTGGATCCTGCTGCTGAGGATAAAATTTGTGATTCCTCTTACAATTCTAAGAAAAGAGGCAGAGTTTTAGAGGTAAGCTAATTTTTTTACATTTTCTTTTAATTGGTTACTTTCAGATTATTACGTCTCAAAATAAAATGTCACATCTCTATTTTTGTTCGTCTCAAAATAATATGACCCCTGTCTCACATAATGTCACATTTCTATTTTAGTTCGTCTCAAAATAATAGACCACTAAATTTTATAACATAATATTGTAACAGTAATTGTAATTTTAAGTCAATTCCTTACAAAAAGTCGCAAATCAAATATGGCCTATCATTTAGTAACGGAGGGAGTACATTACAATATTTTGGGTGATTGATCGCATTATTGAAAAATGCAGGGTGTTCAAAAGGGAAAGAGGAGTGTAAGGGTGAAAAGAAGCCAGAGTCTATCAGCCTTAGGCGGCGATGATGATGAGAAGGAAAACGATGGAATAGCAGTGAATAGACAGAGCTCAAGCAGCGGTAGTTTAGAAGATGATTGCAGCTCTAAGGGGACTACAACGACGACAACGACAACGACGACTACTGTTCTTAATTCTAATGGTAAAACAAGAGCCAGCAGAGGGTCTGCTACTGATCCTCAAAGTCTATATGCAAGGGTAAATCACCTATCTATAAATTTTTACCACAATTTGTACTTAAAATTATCTTTTTTTGGGCAATGTACATGAACTAAATTGATTTTTTTTATGAAACAGAAAAGGAGAGAAAGAATTAATGAGAGATTGAAAATCTTGCAAAGCCTTGTGCCCAATGGAACTAAGGTAAAAACACAAGATTGAACAATGTGTTTAATTGATTGTTTTAAACTATTTGTTTTTCTCTTTTGTTTCAAAAATTGACATTAGTCTATTTAAAAAAAATATTTATATCTATTGACATTGCATATTACATATAGGGTGATGATTTATTGAAGACAATATTTATCGGTCTTAGAAATTTTACTTACATAACTTACTCGTAATTGCATTTGTATTTAATTTATATATGGTATATAAGAAAAAATAGTCTTGTTATATTCATTTTCAATAAGTGTTTTAAAATTTTCAAATTTTTTACATGGTAAACAATATGCATTAAAAAATGGACAAAGTCAAATCAACATTAACAAAATAGAGGAAGTACTACTTTTATATAGAGTAACAAGACATGTCAATATCATAACCTAAAATGTGACAATCACATTCAAACCAACGTATGTTATAGCTCAACTAGTTATGTTAAACAAAACAAAAAAAAATTCATAACATCATTTTCGAATTATTTCTTGCCATAATATACTTGCAATATTAAAAGGAGTATTTGACTAATTCATGCGGCATAGTAGCATATTCGTTGAACTATATTTTATGGATTAATTCAATGTGCTTAAGGAATGTTCGTAAAGTCAACTAATTGTTTACATGATATGTTGTAGGTTGATATCAGCACCATGCTTGAGGAAGCTGTGCAGTATGTCAAGTTCTTACAACTTCAAATCAAGGTAAAAAAAAAAAAAAAAAAAACAAAACAAAACGAAATAAAAATTGTACTTGTACATTTTATCGCGTCTAAAAAAAAGATTCTTTTTTTGCAATTATATGATTTAGATTAAATATTAATTTTAATTTGCATAATTTTTGCAGCTACTAAGCTCTGATGAGCATTGGATGTATGCACCAATTGCTTACAATGGAATGAACATCGGGCTCGATTTCCAGTTTAAATAACCTTCCTAGATGATTTAATTAAAATCGCGACAAAATGTTCCCTTGCAAATTTTGTTCATGATATACGAAGTATACAATCTCACATGTAATTAGTAAACCTTTATACTCCTATACAAAGTTTTCTTCCCATTCTGTTGGGTAGGGAAACATAACAAATCTCATAATTTGTTTCATTCATTCTTGTAATCCTTTGTTTTATTGATTTTTTCTTACTCCATACTGCAAAAAGAATATCAAAATTTATTGTCTACATTATATTTGGGTCCATGACAAATTATTAGATTTTGTCATGTATGCTAAAGTAAATATACATGAAACCATCAACAAATTATTGACATCAAAACTTCTTTGGCTTTGTGGTGCACAATTAATTATTAAATAGAAATTCGAATAAAAAAAAATTATTAAATAGAAATAAGTTTTTTGACATTGTCATTTAATCATATACATGAAACTATTGACAATTATTAACTTTAAAACTATTTAAGGTATTTGGTGGACAATAATTGGGTGGAAAGAAGCCGTTAGGCCCTCATTGTTTGAATGAAAAAATCATGCAATAATTGACTAACAATTTATGAAACTAAACTTCCCATCGCACGAAGGACACAATCTAAGGTTTCGTTGTTCCGATGGAAAACATCTAATAGAAAATCATTTTCTAAAGACTAATATTGTTCCTTCTCTAAGGGCATGTTTGGATTCCATGAAGTAATTAAGAGGGTAATATTTATGTAATTAAGAGGGTAATATTTATGGGGCTAAACTTACTGAGGGGATAATTAAAGGGTTAATATTTCATTTTCGAGAATTTTGTTGAAACCCATTGTCGTCCACTTGTGAGGGTCCTACTTTGGAGAAAGAAGAGAGCCGGTTCCACTTTATAAGGTACATGACTAACTCCTACTATTATCAATAGGTTTTAGTGCGGAAGCTCCTAAGCCTTGGTTGTGCACCGAACTCTCCTCTTTCTTATTCGAATTACCCAACCCTATTTCATATTATTTCGAAATTTAATATAGTATTAGAGTCCAGACTTGTTGGACTGTTCATTACTGGGTATTTGTAATGTTAAGGAGGGACTTGCGAAGGAGAAAATATATTTTGGAACGCAGCGTAGCATTATTGACTTTTTTGCACTAAAAACATATGAAGTAGTTTATTTTCTTTCACGTTACAAATACTTAGTACTCCGTACATCATCATCATCATCATTATTATTATTATTATTATTATTATTATTATTATTATTATTATATCTCAAAAAGAGACAAAGTCATATAACCTATAAAAAGTTAGTGGGTAGTCGAGATACAATCTGGGCCCCTACTCCTCTAGCCATAGCAAATCTAATCCTAGTAACTATATGAGCAGCAGCACGTGCCCTAATGTCTTGCGTCGTCGAAAATTTTAAAACCCACTTAAGCAATGCAACAACCTCCTTTTCTAATTCCCCAAGTGAGAAAAAGGAGAAGGGAATGAAACCATATCTAATTGCCTGACATCGAGCTTCATACTTAACCCGCTTCCGATGAGCCGCATCAGCCACAACCCGCCCATGAATGAAGTCAGATAGCCTTGACTGTGTCAAAGGAGAAGACCCTATCAAATAAACACAGATATCGCGACCACGATCCCAAGAATAAAGTAACACATCTGCAGGTTTGAGGGCCTTGTCATTTTCTCCAGACAACCCAATGTCAACCTCTTTTCTCGCTGAAATCCCAGAACGATACCAAACATCAACCAGGGTATTCCGAACAACATTATGCCGATGTTTAATACCCACCATACCAGCACACAACACTGCGTGATCACCGAAAATATCCCCAGCAAAAACCCTCGAACAAGCAGATGAGCACGACGTCGAGACAGAGAATAATGGAACACCCAACCGATATGACAACACACATCGATAAGGTTTTGTGTTCATCGTCTGACCCAAACCCGAAATAGGGACGGCCCAAAGCCAAGCAGTCGTGTGATCTCCCTGCTAAGATTTCCATAATGCTGATAGTTGAGGAGATAATGAAAAGGTAGATTCTGCAGAAGCGGTAACCTTCGTGAAATATATATCTTCCAATTTATTCATGAGTTTCGGGGCAGCAACCTCACTAGGATTACTCAAAAAATCAGACTTCACCATGCCACTAAACAGACTCAATGCATCTTTAAAAGCTCGACCAAGACCAACAATGTCAGCATGTCGTAGAAGCTTCGTCTACAAGCCAGCAGACTGTAACCAAGAAGCAAGAAATGCATAATGCCGAACATCACCTGTGGAATAAACACCAAGCCCTCCAAACGCAAATGGTAAGGTGGCAAGGCGCCACTGACAGTCACCAAACCCAGGCCCTGAAGCAGTAACAATACTCTCCAAGGAAGAACGAAGAGCCTCGTCGAATAATGTGCGCTGAGCCGCCTCAAAATTACTTGGGGGACAACTACACAATGCAAAGTAGAGTTTAGAAACTCGATCTGGTACACGCCCTAAGTAACAACAGGTCACACTGTGGATCATCCAGCATAGCAACCTTATCCATAAGCGTAATGGTCTTGGTCACCCTATGCATCACAAGTTCACTACTAAAATTGGAATCAGAACTAGCGAGACCACCAAGCAACTTAATACCACGCAAAGGTCGAGCAATGTTAGGTGGAAAGACACCCACAAGCCTGCTTCAAGGGTCTTCTATAGGCTAGAAGACTTTGGTTTTTTCCACGTTAAGATGTAACCTAAATCGAGGTCCTTCCTCCATACTTAATTGTAGAACCTTCCCCACCACCAACGTGTCACCAATAACAGTGCCGTCATCCAAATACCAAGCCTGAAGACATACATCAAAAGTGTCTCTAATTTTACACACAAGGGGTTGTAAAACCAAAGCAAAAAGCAGAGAACCAAGGGGATCACCTTGCTGCACCCCCTGAGACGACCATAAGGTGTGGTCCCCATAATACAATCTGGCTGGATTAGAGTAGAAGAATTCAACCCACCGCGAGATACCTGGACAACGACGACGGACTTCACGTAACATGACCTCATGATCAACTAGATTGAAGGCATTTCGAAAATCCACCAATAACATTGAAAGACCAACATTCGAACCACGATCCTCAATCAACCGATTCACAAGATGAACAATTGCCTCACCACTTGAAGAAACCCTAACGCCAAATTGAAGACCATCAAAGTAACTGCCCAAAGACTTCCCAAACATGACAGCACCGGCCTTTGAAACCAAACGTCGCCAAACATTACCCACAACTATAGGACGGATACCACCGGGCTTGACTAGAGGTGTGAGTGGAGCACTAGCAATATACTCTCCTAGCTCCATTGAACATCTACTGGCTAAAAATAGATTAACCACCCTGGAAATAGAGTCAACCAACTCATCTGAGATAGCCACAACAACACCACTCAAGCAATCAATAAGGTGTTGAGCACGTAACCCGTCCATACCACACGATGTGCCACAAGGGAAACTCTTAATTCGATCCAAAACAACAGTAGACGAAGAAACGAGATAAAGTTGATCAACATGTAATGATGGAGGAGGAGAAGAAGGGTGTTTTGAACTCAAATTCGAAAGAGTGGCCTCATTATTATTATTATTATTATTATTATTATTATTATTACCCACCTTGATTTCGTGCAAAATTCATATATCTCTTAATTTTACCCGCAATTGAGATGGAAAAAAGGTATACTAATGTGAAATTTTTCCCCTGAGGGCGGATGCACGATAATACTCTGTGCATCCATTTTTTTTAAGGTAGAATGAACATATAGTTGTTCAATAAAGAACATATAGTTATTTTGTAAAGAACATATACTTCCTCCGTTACATATTATGTGCAACATTTTCCAAAAATGGATGTTACACATTATCTGCAACAAACTAAAACTTTCCTCTTTTAGTAGTTTTTTACTTAAAATGACCAATGTACCCTTAGTTAGCTTTACTAACACATATTAAATGATTAAGATTATATGTTATTAACATATTAACCAAAATTAATTAATCTAAACTCATCCCAATCTCTCTCCTCCCTCACAACCGCATCCACCACCATTATCACCAACGTTTCCTTCACTTCCCTCGAAGCCACCCCGCCGCCGCCGCCGCCACCACCACCACCACTTTTCTCGGTCTTCTTTCAAAGCGACGGTCCGAATCCACCCCAGCCGAAATCTCCCACCCACACACCTAGCCCCAACCTCGAATCCCCCTGAGCAGTGAGCACTTCCCCTCCATTCATGTCGCCGCAAAATTCCCCACCCAAGTCGCCCAAACCTACCCCTGTCGCGCCGAGATCTCTAGGAAAACCCCAATCAAACCCATCCCAGGTGATCTGGCTAGTGGGGTTTCGCGATATTGCGTCACTCAGGTGGTAGGTTTTCGCGATTTGGTTGGTGGGGTTTCGCGATGTCGCGATTTTTCTCAGGTAATGGGGTTCTGCAATTTGGCTGGTGGGTTTTCGAATCATGGTGGTGGTGTTGGTGGTTACGGGGTAGGCCTAGCTAGGTATGGTGGTGGTGGTTACGTGCTAACGGCGAGTGGGTGGTGGTGGATGTTGTTGCTGGTAGGTGGTGTAGAGGAGTCGTCTATGGCAGTTTGTGGTGGTGGCCATTAATTCTCTCTCCTACCCTTAATCACACACCTTTCACTTAGTTAATCAGCATTAACAAAATTTATCTTGGAAAACGTGCAACAAGGTTTGTTGCACATAATGCGTAACGGAGGAAGTATCTATTTTATATCACATATAGTTATTTTGTAATGAACATATAGTTGTTTTCTAAAGAACATATAACTATTTTGTAAAAAAAACATCCAGCTTTATATTCTTTATATATATCTAAGGAAAATCCGTAATATTAATAATGAACATAATAATATAATGTAATGAATATTATTTGTATTCAACCACCATAATCTAAAGACAAAATTTAAAGAAAATTTCAAAATAAACAATTAATATTATGTCATAAATAAAAGTAAATTATATTGACAATCAAAGAACATGATGATAAAGAACATTATTATTAAATAGTACGCATGTTCTTTTCATTATAGAAATATGTTCGTTATATTTTAATAGTATGTTCCTTTCATTCTAGGTATATGCTCATTGTATTTTAATAGTATGTTATTTTCTGGGTGAGGAAAATCAGGGTAACGTTGCGAAACCA